CTTTTACGCAATCCATCCATCTCTTTCTAGGTCTACCTCTACCGATGTACCCTTCCACTCTCTTGTAACATGCGATTCATCCGTCATAACATGGCCATACCATGCTAACCTTTTACTCCTTACCTTCTCTATTACTGTGGCTACTCTCAAACTTCCTCTAATAAAAAATTATATGCACATGCCCGTTAAATTGAATCTTATGTCTTAGATGTTGTGGTACATAATCGCGAGCTGTGCGCTGGCGGTGTCAGTGTCCGGGCACGGTCGAGTGCTAGACCCGCCGTCCCGCGCGTCCGCGTGGCGTTTCGGTTTCCCCACGACACCGGACTACGATGATGATGGACGGAACTGCGGAGGATTCTCTCACCAGCATGAAGTTGTTGGTGGCAAGTGAGTAACGATAGATTTTATGCATTAGATGTTATGGTGCAATATAGTTGAGTTTGCAAATTAAATAAATTCTTCGTTGTCGCTTCTGTTTCGTGTCGCTTTCGTGTGTACAAAATAAAATGTCGGCTTACTTCCGATAGCACAAAATTACTTGACCTCGTAAATATGTTTGTTTTCTATATCAATGGAGTTATAGCAAACATTTGATAATTCGCTACCGACCACTTCAGCATAATAATACCTCGCAAATAACATCGTGCGATTTAACTTTAAGTATGTATGTCAAAAAATTACTAGATAAATTATAAATTTAAATTTTTTAAATAGAATTGTACATTTAAGCTTCGTTCGTGTTGTGAATTGATACATATTTGTTCCCATAGATGCGGTATTTGTGGTGACCCGTACGACCAGCCCCAACCGAGAGACCACGAGCTAGGGGGTACATGGGGGGATGGCTTAATCGTGGCAAAATTCACCGCAGGCCAAGTCTTCTCAGCGACTGTCGACCTTACAGCATACCACAAAGGCTATTGGCAGTTCAAAATCTGCACAGACCCGACTAGAAACGACCAAGCGTGCTTCGACGAGAACATTCTAGAACTCGAATCTGGTGGTAATAAATATTACCCGAACAGAGACGCTAAATATACAATGACGTATCGACTTCCCTCGGATTTATATTGCGAGCATTGTGTCCTCCAATGGCAGTATATTGCTGGGAATAACTGGGGCATTTGTAAGAATGGGACAACTGGGTTAGGATGTGGGAATCAGGAACAATTCGGTGCGTGTTCTGATATCAGTATATCCGTACCATTAGCGAACGCTGAGAAAAAGCCTGCGTATTACCAAAGATTAGGTTACCTGGACGTACAAGGTGAGACTGGCAACAGAAAATAAAATACCGAACTAATCTTTACCTAAGCAGTATGCATGAACTGGGGTTGATTGTATTATTTTTTTATTACTATTAATTTATTTAAATAAAATGTATGTAAATATATTAATGTAAATATAATTATTAATTTTGTTTTTTTTTTACTAACAGCTTTTTTGACGATTAATATTTTTAATCTATATTTACACAGAATACTTGTTAGATTATTTAATCTATATTTTGTTTATTAATGACGTGGTTAATCTGTATTATGCACATTACCAATTTTGCATTTCTAATAATAAAATATGAATATAAGCGTAAAGCTTCGGTTCGTGTCGGTGTGTTTGATGTCAAACAATTCAATAATAAAACTTTATAAACCACATTGTCTTTGATTGCTCTATATAAGCTGATATAAGCCACGGCTTAGCCAAAAAGATTGCTCGACAGATTAGACCCTAATCCTGCAAATATCTTTATAATTTTTAAACTGATTATTTTGTTATATTGTCAGGGTTTTTCACGCGGTCATTGATTTTTGTATTTTTATATTACAGACAATTTTCTTAAAGATATATTCAAGATAAAAGATTACTAACATATGTATCAACAATAATCCCCTTTATCTAGAATTATCTGCTTTCTATTAGACAATTAAATGTTATAATAAACTTTCCGCAATTTAAATGACAATAAACATTCAAACAATGTTATTAACAAACACAATGACTAACATTGATTAGAAAGATTATGGTTCATTGCTGGTTTCCATTGTCCAAATATGTTATCTCAATTCTAACGGCGAATGGGAAGGCGTTATTTGTATTTGTACAAAAGTTTCGGTATAAACGCTTAATAAATTATGCTCATAACTTTTTTTTCTTTATTACACGTAAGGAGTATGCATGAACATTCAACTGGTCTTGGCCATCCACAATGAATAAAAAAAAAAGACATAAAACTTTTTTTTGAGAAAGATCCTATGACGGCCAGACCTTTCTGTGCATCGCCACGTTTTTTTTCAGTTTTTATAACAAAACGAAGGCCTGGCCGTCGTGGGCTATTAGTTGGGCTTTTTAGTTATGACTATGTAAAAAAAATTGAAACATCCAAAACACTGGATTAATTACTACGATTGGGCTTTTTGGGTTCCCGATATTTCGGCACAGTAGTGTAAAAATCGTTGTCACTTTAAAAATTAAATGATTAAAGAGCTTCTTTAATTAAGAAGTTATTTTCTTTAATCTGTGACACTTCACCCTTTCACAGTTCTTCTTCAATTGCTGGATAAAGTAAGACCGCGGCCGAAAGTCCGCGTTGGACCACCAATACCCGAGGATAGACCAATCATTAAAAGCAATAAACATAAAAGGAAACGTAAAGGAAAAAAGAATAAACCACGCAAAAGAAAAAAGGTACCAACTGATAAAGATTTCTGTTTACTTAAAATAATAACTGTAATTGTTAATTATTTTTTATATTTAATACTTAGTCAAGAAAATTGTTTTATTGCAGATGTAGTATTTAACTCCACCGTTAATGCAAGAAACTAACCCATAAACCAACATCCAGAGAGGCCAACATCAAAAAAAAAGTTTTAAAAGTAACGAAGTAATCGAACAATAGTTGTAATGTGTACAGCGTTATATAATTTATATCGACTATCAGGAATTTATCAAATGTCGTAATTCTAAACAAATGGCGAGTTGACTAAGATCAAGATATTGTGGTTTTATGTAAATAAAATGATTGTGATCAATCTTGAACATGATTATCGATCAAATACTAATTGGTCGTACATAAAAACATTACTTTAAAGTTATTATGTACGTAGTTTATTTATTTGTATAATCTACATTTTTAATAAATGATTAATTTAAAAATGTTGTTTGATTTCATCTTTAAATGAAAGAAATCGGTCATAAGAATCTCAGTTCCTTTATCGTAGATTTGTAATTTCCCACATATTTAAAGTCAAGATGGCAGTCAATTAATAAAAGACCTTTCCGGCGGGGAATTGAATCTCGGTTTTCCGTTTAACAGGCGAGAATACCACTATACTATCGAGGATTCTATGAACATACAAATAAAGGCATCTTTGTGACAAAGCTGCTTACATTGACGTAAGTTTTCCAAAAATTGTTAAAGCGAAATATTTTTTATGCAAACATAAAACATATTATAGTTTTATAATTACGATTTCAAATTCATATTAAATATATATCTTGCCTATAAAAATGCGACATTTCTTTTCTCAATAGTTATAAATTAATACCATAACCGGTTTTTGAACTTAGTAGAACTGTCATGGCTGCATCCTGTATCTGTCAATTACTTCATTTGTTTTCGACAGTTTTTCGATGAATAAATAAAAGGATTATTTAAGAAAACATTTTGATTTTATGTGTAGTGCTATATTTTAAGAATTACCGTAAACATATGAAGCTAAAATGAGTGAAAAACTTAAAGAACTACGAGAGAGATCCCAAAAGCGAAAGAAGTTGCTTGCGCAAGCGGTAAGTTAATGATATCATAACCTTATTTATTTGTTTTGAATTGATTAAGTAGTCTACTGGAACTACAGATGTACATATTCAGTAAATAATTCATTCATCATTATTCTAGTAATGTTAAGTATAATTTTTGTCTTTAATAACAGCTAGGCGTATCCAGCGTAAGTGAGTTGAGGCATGCTTTAGGCGCATCTTTGGATGCGTTTCCTAAGAAACAAGCTGTGGCAGATTGCAGTGCAGAAGGGAGTGAAAAGCCAGTCGCCAAGGAACCAGACAGCCTTGTTTATACTGATTCTTCTACTTTTTTAAAGGTGAGTATTTTATTTTTTGTAATTTTCAAAAATCGTATAAAACTCCTTTGTAGTATAGTATTACTAGCTGTTGCCCACGACTTCGTCCGCGTGGTATTAGAAAACAGACGAACTATGTAAATAACATGTCCCTTGGGAACCAGACATTTTTCGGGGATGAACCTTATCCCATGTGTACCCCAGACTTTGTTTTATATCTGTGCCAAATTTTAATAAGATATGTTCAACCGTTGCAGAATTATCGAGTAAACCTTTAAATAAGAAATTAGTGCATCCCACAGGAACCATATCTATTTCCGGGAAAAAAGTAGCCTATGTGTTCTTCCAGACTATCGTCTATATCAGTACCAAATTTCATCAAAATCAGTTCAGCCGTTTAGGCTACAAACTAAAAAACATCCATCCATCCATCCATCTAAACTTTCGCATTTATAACATTAGTATTAGTAAGATAGGTAAGTTTCATACAAAATACGGTTAGTTCAAAATGAAGTGCTACTCTGGTTATTTTTTATTTGCTATTATAGTTTAAATATTAGAACCAATACTTTTCTTAATGAAACAAGTTTCAATACTTCTTGTACAATCATTTTAAAAGTAAATAAAGTCTGTCATTCCCCAGAAACCTATTAAATGCCATTTTTTGTGTAATTTAAATAATTAAAGTTAATATATATAAGCATTATACTGATGTAATGAAATTTTAATTCATTTTTAGGGCACACAATCATCGAACCCTCACAATGACTACTGCCAGCACTTTGTCGATACTGGTCAGAGGCCGCAGAACTTCATCAGAGATGTTGGGCTGGCAGATCGCTTTGAGGAGTATCCTAAACTCCGGGAGCTCATAAAACTGAAGGATGATCTGATTGCACGCACTGCTACACCACCTATGTACTTAAGATGTGACCTTAAGGTAAGGTTTTAATTTTTAGGTAATCCTATTTTTACATAAAACAATATTATAATCATCATTACGCTACTTACATATATTTCTATTACTTGTTACAACTAAATTCACTCCATTTCCTTTAAACGAGCCATCAATTACCTTCTACAAGGTTGGGGAAATCTATACTAATGTTTTAAATGGATTATTTGTATCTATGTATGTATTGAAATAACCCAAAAACTAATGAGCAGACATCAAAAATTCTTTCACCACAAAAGCCTATGTTATCAGTGAGTAACATAGACTATATTTTATATTATCGTTAAATTTCAAGTGGTCATACTTGTTAGCAATCATTGATATATTGGGGGTCAATGTTACTTGAAAGTAGAAGGAGGTTTTTAATTACTTTTTTAATTCTTCCTGTCATAGCTATTAAAATAAAATCACAAGTAGTATTGGCAAGGCGGCCGGCCACAAAAAATAGTGATGAATCCTAAAGTACAAAAACACGTTGCGCCAACCATACGGGAGTAAGATAAGGAGGAGCAGGACGATATTATAGCTATCAACATTCTTTATCCATCTACATGAAATATAGCAAGACCATGAATATAAGATGGTTCTAATTAGTGTAATGTACCTTCCAGACATTTGACTTGAAGCAGATGGGGTGTAAGTTCGATGTGGTGGTGGTGGAGCCGCCGCTGGGCGCGGGCTGGCGCTG